AAAAATTAAAAACTAGAAAGACTAAGTAGACTTACTAGATTTAAAGTACTAAAACTAGTATCTAAAAAACCTAAAACACTACTACTAAGCTTAGTAATTTCTAGAAAAGCTTTAGTAATATAATAAAACTATAAACAGTGCGTTCTTTATAGAAGTAACACCTATAGCACTAATAACTACTAATAAAAAAGGCACTTTATATAGTTAGTATAAACACAAGAATACTTATAGTAGACCTAAAAAAGTCCTTTTAATATGTTATATAGACCTAATAATTGTCTATACCCCTAGTACTAATATACACAGTGTTACTGTGTAAAACATTAGGACAACAAACACTAGACAGGCTAGTAGCTTACATAAAAAAAAACTATAATAAATGCTTATAGTAAAAGACAGCTTCTACCTATAAAACTATAAACTACTACACTTATTAAACAGCCCCCTCTTATAAATAAAAGAAGTAAATAAAGTGTAAAAAATAAAACAACTATAAGTTTTACTACTTTTAGTAAAAAGTAGTAAAAAAGAAAGATTATCTAACATTACACTACTTAGTTAAAAATTATAAGTATAAAGTAGCTAACTACTGCAACTAAGAACACTAGATTTATAAAAAAAAAATAAGTTTAATAATAACTTATAAAACATTAACTTTTACTTTTTTTTTAATAAAAAAGTTTTTTATAACATATTAGTTCTAGTAGCTATAGAATAAGAAATAAGACATAGTCTAACAACTACCTTTACATATAAGAGGCAGTTAGGATTAGCTCTTATAAACAGTAGATGCACCTTTACTACTTTAAATAAAGACTAAGTTAATAAATAAAAAATTCTTTTTTATATAAAAAAAGTACTATTTAAAGTAACCCTTACTAATATATTTTTAATTAAGTATAGTAAAGGATAGATTAACTTAGAAACACTTAAACAAAACTTTAAAACTTTAAATATAAAAAACTAAAAGTATATAAATATACTCTTATTAAAAGATAAGTATAATATAATTCTAGGCTATAGCTAGCTTAAAACATATAACTTTATAATTAACTAAAGAATAATAATAATTAAAAGCTTAAAAGACTACGCGCAAATAACCTAGTTAGTATACTATAATAATAAATGCTTAATTTAGAGGTAAGTAAAATAAAGTAGTAGTTACTACTTTAAAAAAAAAGCTTAAAAAGTTTTTTTACTAAAAACTAAACGCTTAGGCTATTAAAATAATAAAAAAAAAACTTAAAAAAGGCCTTTATAAAAAAATTAAAAGTAATAAAGATATAAAATAAATTAAAATCTTCTAAATCTAAAATAAAGGCAGCATCCCCTTTAAATATAAGAATTACAAGAATATGTTTAAGACACTAGAAGATTTAAAAGAGCTGCTACTACACTAACCCTAGAACTATGCTATTAACTTAGTAAAAGACTACAATCTAAAAACCTATAAGCTCTACCCCTTAATAAGAGCATAAAAAAAGGCCTTATAAAAATATGTAGACTAAATGTTAGCCTAAGGCTATATTTAGAAAAGCTATAGCCTAGTTACCTTAGCAGTAGTTTTTATAAAAAAGAAAAAAAAAATCTAAGTCTATTAAAACTATAAAACTCTAAATAATAACATAATTTAAAATTAATTTTTTTTTACTAATTATATAAGATATTATAAACTAACTAAAAGAAACTTAGTACTTTATAAAGTTTAACATATAGAACAGGTTTAATAAGATAAGAATAAAAAAAATAAATAGCTTATAGTGTTTAAAACTTTATAAAGACTTTATAAACTATTAGTAATACTATTTAGCTTAATAAACACACTAGTAACATTCTAGTAAATTATTAACATAGCTCTTAATCTATACTTTAATGTCTTTGCCTTAGTATACCTAAATAACGTCCTTATCTACTTAAAAGATACCCTAGAAGACTATGTATAAAAAGTATAAAAAGTTTTAGAGTAGCTAAAAAAATATAAACTTTACTTATAACTCTTTAAATGTAAATTCTATGTTGCTAAAATAGAATATTTAAGATTTATAATTAATAGTAAAAAAATAAAGATTAACTTAGCTAAAGTATAAAAAGTACTTAAGTAGCTAAAACTTATAATAGTTAAAAAAGTTAAAAAATTCTTTAGACTATTAAAATATATTAAATAAATAATCTAAAACTACTTAAAAATTACTATACTTTTAATAAACACTACTACTAAAGAATAAGCTATAGCAAAGTTTGTCTAAACTTTATAAATAAATAAAGTATTTATAATGTTAAAGTAAGCTATAATAGCTAAACTAGTGCTAAGACTATATAACTTATAGCTAGATACTAAGATCTACATAGATGTGTTCTTAGAAGCTAGTAGAGCAGTGTTCTACTAGAAACAGGAAGATAGGAGATAGCACCTAGTAGTGTACTACTCTGCTAAGTTCTTAGGACCTAAAGTAGGCTACAGCATACCTAACAAAGAATTAAAAGCAATATTAAACACTATAAGAGTATAAGCTATAAAACTACATAAAATAGTAAAACTTTTTTACATTATAACTAACTATATAAACCTAGTTATATTCTTAATAGTAAAGAAACTCTTACTAATACACATAAAATAAGTAATAAAACTTGCCTAATTTAACTACATTATTAAGCATGTTCTAGAAACATAAAACTAATAAGCTAACACTTTTAGCTAGAGACTAAATTACTTTAATAAAAAAAAAGAAAAAACTAAAAAGTTTACTTTTTTTAAAAAAACTAATAAAAGATAGATTTATAATAAGCCTTAACTTATAAAAAAATTCTACATGCTTATAGTAAATAAGTAGAAATAAAAAAACCTAATTTATAAATATTATAAATCTTTAATGTTTAGGCACCTAGAAATAGGCACCCTTTAAAAAAAGCTAAAGACTACTATACTATAATAAATACTAAAAGTAAAGTAATTATGCATAGAAGTGCTTAAAAAATATAACACCTATAATAAAAATAACTTATAAAGACATAAGGCTTATAAATATTTTTAACTAATAAAAGCTTTAAAGTAACTATAAATAATAATTATAATAAACTTTATTATAAAACTTTCTTTATTAAAAAAGCTAAAAATAGAAAAAATGTGCAATATAATTATAGTAGCTTTTAATAAGACTACTAAATATCTATATATATAGCTATTAGAAAAAACTATTATAGCTAAAGAATTTATTTATAAACTTAAATAAAATGTAGTATTAGTATATAAATGCCTTAAAATAATTATTTTAAATAAAGATAAGCTATTTACTAGCAGATTTTAAAAGGCAGCTATAAGGCATATTAGCATAACATATAAACTATCTACAGCATACTATCTATAGATAGACAGTTAAACTAAAAGAATAAACACTAAAGTAAAAAAATACTTTAAAAAATACATCTTTTATACTTAAAATAATTAGGCAGAATAGCTTTTAATAGCATAGTTAGCTATTAACATAGTAAAATTAGCTATAATAAAAAAGACACTATATAAAGCTAATTTTAAATATAACTTTTACTTTATGCTATAAAAAAACTAACTTATAAACCTTTAAAAGTTAATTAACTAGTTATTAGGCTTATAAAATATATATAAAAAGTTAGTAGTAGAAGCTAGGTCTAGTTAAGAGATAATAAAAAAATATATAAATAAATTATAGCAGCTAGAACTAAGAATCTACCTAGAAGACTACGCATACTTTAACACTAAGAACTTTAAGATATCTAGACCCTCTAGAAAGCTAGTAAAAAAATAAATAAAACAATATTAAGTTTTTTAAACTTAATAAAATAATTATAAGCTTAAGCTTTCTTTATATATAAAAATACATCTATAGTTTTATATATCTAGATTAAAAAAAGCACTTAAAGAGATTCCTTTATCTATATAAAAATAAAAAGATAAAGAAATAAAGTATAAAGTTAAATATATTATTAGTAATTAAAAAAACTAGAAATTTTTTTTAGTAAAATAAAAAAAGTAGCTTACTAGTAAAAACATATAAAAACTAGCTAAAAATTTATAGAATATATAGTAGTTAGTATAAAAGTACCTTTAGGCTTATTTAAAAGAAACTAGCTAGGTAATAAAGCACCTATATTAAAAGAAATAGCTATATTATTACTAAATAGTAGCAGCTTTTAGAGACAAGTCTTAGCTAATAAAAGCTAAAAAAAAGTAACTTTTTACTTTAGCTTTAAAAGCTTTTATTTTATCTAAAAAAAAAGTTTTTTTTAAGTACTTTACATATTAAGCCTTTAGTAAATTTAATAACTTTTAGATATAATTCTACTTAGAACACTCTCTAGCTATTGCTTCTAAAGTTTTTTAAACCTAATATAACATTTCTTTTTTAAGCTTCTGTGGAGGATAAAATAGCCTGGCAGTAGCTGTTCAGAAGATCGGATGAAGTGACTCTGCTATCTAAGAGAGCCGAAGGCTCTCCTTATATACACCGAGCTTCAGAACATAATATCTCCAGATCCCGAGCTGCGTCCCAGGCTCTGAGCCCCTAGTCCCAGGCTCCGAGCCCCAGTCCCAGGCTCTGAGCCCCAGCCAAGGCTCTCAGTATACGCGACACACCCCCCAGGTGAGCTGCGCAGCAGCTTACCTGCGTTAAGCGTTAACTTAGCTTGTTAGAGCAGCGTTGTGCGTTTACCCTGTGTTTGTGCTTGTTGCCCTAGGCAGCGTGATGCTTGTTTCCCTAAGCAGCGCAGGTCACATGCGTGCTGTAATCGCCGCAATAGAGGTAAATAAATTCTGCTACTTCTTAAGCTTCTCTTCTGTAAGTCCTAACAACATGCTGCGTGTAAGTTAATGCTTTTAAGAGCTCTAAGAACAACTTTAAACCTGTTTGTAATCTCTACTAACGTGCATCTGTAGCTTAACAAAGCTAAAAGAGCTGCCCGCTCGCGTGCCGCCGCTCTGCGGGGCCGCGCTGCCCGCAAGCCCGCGCCCACCACCCCCCGTCGCCCTGCGCCCACCACCCCCCGCCGGCCTCCCCCTGGTGCGCTCCGCGCGCAGTCCTGTCTGGGCTGCATAAAGAGTGCGCTCGCGGGGCGCTCTAGTGGGGAGTGCTATGATTCCGCCACTGGCGGTTCGCGCTGCTGGCGCTGTTCCTCCGGGCACAGCTGCCTGCCCCTATAAGCCCTGTAGCAGTGTGTGGGGTAATCTAGCTTTTAACCTATTTGCAGTCCCCCTGTTGCTGTTGTCTATGCGCGGCGCTTTGTTGCAGCGCTTGTTGCAGAGGATAAGCAGGTAAGCTTCTCTACAGAGATTGTGTGTTATACCTTAGATTAGACTAACAGGCTATAGGCTGCGTTCTAGCTTTAGCTAGTTCTTTAAGCTCTGCTTAAGAAAGATGTAGTAAAGAAGGAAAAGAGAGAAGAGGAGGAAGAGAAGAAGGAGGAGGAGAAGGGGGAGGAAGAGAAGGTGGAGGAGGTGGAGGAGGAGGAGGAGCAGGGTGTTGTCTCCCCTAGGCTCCTGGCGCGTTGCTAGCGCGCTAAGGAACTCTTAGGTGAGCTTGTTAATCTCTTTATAGTTTAAGCGTTCTATGTTTTTACACATCTTATGTACTAAATCCCTACTTAAACTCTATAGCATAGAGGAGTGTCCTTACTAGTAGATAGCCCTCTTGTTTCTAGGCAGTGTAGAGATGTCCTTACTATTAATAATTAATGCTTTCTTCTTTTAGAAGCTTATTTATGTGTCTTTAAAGTTAAAAAGCTGCTTAAAGTGCTTAAATTACTATTTTAGTAAGTGCTTTATAAGTCTATTTGCTAGCATGTTGCTTATTTTAATATAGCGCACTTTAAAAGATCCCTTTGTGTGCTCCTAGCGCAGCCACATGTTTTAAATATTAATGTAGCGTAGGTAGGTAGTTATCTAGGCGTTCTTCTCTACTACTAACCTAATTATCTGCTAGTTGTTACAGTAGATCTGCTACAGTGTGCCTAGCTTTAGGGTAAGCTCTTTAAAGAAGTGTTTTAAAGCTAGTAATTTCTTTATAATGTGCGCTAAAGTAAGCAGCTTAGCTTTTATTATAAACATAGTTACTATTAGCTAAAAAGCTGCTTTTTATAAAATTAGTCTTTTAAAAAGTAAAATAATGTATCTATAAGATAATTATCTAGTCTTTATGTAATTAGTAAAAGATGTGTCTTTACACATAATAAGTTGCGCGCCTTCTAGTGCTCTATACTGTATGCCTGTATGCCTTATGCAGTACAGGTACATAATTGCTTAGTTTACTGCCTAGAAGTGCTGCTTTCTTAGGTTTATTAGGTAGTAGGAGAGCTAAGATGCTGTAAACGCCACGTTAAGGCGCACTATAATTACAGTGTAGAGTGTTAATCCTACGCGCTTTTAGTATTTCTTAATTTTATGCTTTATTACTAATTCTTAGTTGCTTATAAGCTCTTTTAACAGTAAAAAAGTTTCTAGAAAGAGCACGCTTTTTATAAAGTTAAACTTCTTTACTACTTTTTTAATATACATGTTATATACTAGCTAGATTATTCTAGCCTTTCTATTTTTAATTATTTTAATCTTTAGAAACTATTTGCATAGCCTTTAATCTTCTAGCTTATATATTTTTTTAATTACACTAATTAATTAGTAAGCTTCTAACTTATTATTATAGTAATAAATATAGAGTATATTATCTATATAAAAAAGAAGTAAGATATAGTAATTATAGTTAAAGAATAAGCATAGCTTCTTTTTAAATAAGCTAAGCTTAAGCTTTTAAAAAGCCTATAAAAGCTTCTAGTACTATAAAATTAGTAAGTTGCGTAGTCTATATAGGGCTTAAAGAAGCTTAACGCATATGCTAAGCTTTATAAAGCTTTCTAGGAGCTTGCATGTTACTTCTAGCTTACCTTTACAGTGCGCGTTTAGAAACGCGCTTATAACATTATATTACTTAATCTTTAGGTTAAATTAAGCTGCTATTACTATTACTATTTAGAAGGATCTAGCTGTAAGAGTGGCAGCATAGGTTAACTAGAGCAAGTCCTTACTCTAGAGATTACTACGTACGCATATGCAAGCTTTGCATTTAGCAAAATACTTATTCTAGTTAAATTTATATGTAAATACTTACTTTAGTAGAAGCAGCTTAGATGTTACTTTAGTTTATATAATCTCTTTCTAAGTGCTTTTTTTAAGTAGGGTAGCTATCTTTTTTTATGCTATAATCTTAAAAAGATTTTTATATAAGTGTTTATATAGATCTTTTTATTTTAAAAGTTTCTTTAGGAGCTTATAAGCTTTTAGTTAAGGCTACTTAAAAAAAGCAGCTATAGAAAACACTATGTAAAGCGTTTTAAGCGCTTTATTATTGTAAGTAATAAATGCTTTAAAAAAGTTTATTTAGAAGTGCTCTAGATTAACTAAAGCTAGGCGTATACTACTTCTTTTTAAAAGCGTTGTATATATACCTCTGCTTTCTGCACCTTTAGGCTTACCTAGGTTATTAGAATCTTGCCTCTATATTCTTTAGCTTATACATGTAGCTAGTCTCTAGCTTTTTTTATTGTACGCATGTTTAGAGAGTGCCTTACCTGCTTTAACTAGAGCTACAGAAAATAATGTTTTAGTATAAAAGGTAAAGGTTAATTTTTTAACTAGTAAGTTAGCTATTTAACTTAATAAGCCTAGTAAATCTGCTTCTTTAGTTAAGTGCACTTACTAAAGATTACCTATATGCTTATGCCTACCCTATATAGGGCGTGTTGTAGAGCTATCTATAAGCTCTAGCTTAGAAGTTAGCTTTAGGGTAATAAGTGCTATATATTTATTAAGAACTATGTAAATCTTTAGTAACTTACTTATTATACTTATTACCTGTGTAGTTACTTCTACTTTTAAGTGCTAATTCTTTAGCTAGCTAACCTAAGTTTTAATAAGCTTTTTAGTTTTTATACTTTTAAGCTTACGCTCTTAGGGCTTTTAATTTAGTATATTACTTTACTACTTATTTAACTTTTAAAGTAAAAGCTTAAAAGCTTTTTTTACATTATAAATCTTACTTTACTTATTAAAAATTTTAATAATTTTAGAGGCTTTTTCTTAGAGGATTAGCTTATTACTTTTATTTTTATAAAAGTATGTCTTATTAAAAGCTATGTTTCTTATAGTAATTACTTAGTTAAGTAATAGGACTTATATTTTATAGATATTTAAAGCTCTATAGCCTATAAGATATTTTATGTAGCCTTATAAAGTTACTTTAAAGCTTTACTTTTAACACCTAGCTGCTTATTCTTTATTAAGTAGGTAAGCATAATAGCTATATGCGTAGGTCCTACTTTAATTAGGCTTTAGATTAGCTGTAGCACTTTTTACCTACTCTAGCTTATAGTATTTAAAGTAGTTAGTAAACTATGTGTTTAAGACTTTATTTAGTAAGCGTAGGTTATATGCGTGCAACAGGCTTATATTGTACAGCTATGTTGCTGCGTCTACTACTTCTAGCTAGAGCTTCTTAGGGAGTCCTGCGCTACTTTTTATTTTAATAGACTTTATAATTATTTTTTATTTAGCTTTTTCTACAGCTTTATTTAGCTTATAAGTGTATAGTAAAAAGCTTTTAATATTAATGCTAGATTTTTTTACTTAAAGCTTATACTTTAACTTTTTATGCTAAGGGAGTGTAGTAGTGTTATTATTTTGCTGTATTTTGCTAATCTAAAGCTTATATTAATTAGACACTATACTTTTAAAGTTTTTTATTACTCTTTAGATTTCTAAAAGCGTTTTTGCTTAAAAAGAGTATAAAAAGATTTTACTACTATATTTATTTTTAATAATTATTATCTATAGAGCTCTGCTGCGCCCTAATAGCATATTAAACATGTCCTATGCAATTCTCTAGAATAGGTAGGGAGCTTGCTCTTTTAGTCTTCTTAATATAACCTGCTTAGCGTGTGTTGTTGCGCAGTGCTTATAGTGTACTTGCTTTATACTTATTATTTATACATTTTTTGCGCTTTTAACTAGAGCCTGCAGAGCTTTAGAGCCTAGGTGTCCTGCGCGCGTATACTAGAGCTCTTCTAAGTCTAAGTGTAGGAATATAGTCTATAAGCGTTAGTAATTTAGAAGCACACTTTACACTAGTAAGTAAAAAGAGACAGCTTTATATTTAATAAACATAAAGTTATGTTCTTAGTAAAGTGTTATAAGTACTCTATTCTTTTCTAGTGTGCTTATGCGTAGTGTATAGTTAAGTTTTAAATACTATAGTTCTTTTTCTTTTAAATAAGCTTTTAAGATAATATTAATGTAAAATCCTTTTACTATAACTACCTTTTGTAGTGTAAGATTTTCTGTGCGCTCTTTTTGTGCTTTATTTAACACCTTTCTAAGCTTTCTAGTTTTTATTCCTTAAATTAAGAATAACTAAGTGCTAGCTTTTACTATGTGTAAACTTTAAGCTTTTTTAAATAACTTAGGTATAAGCAGCTTTATACTATTTACTAAGTATATAGCACTTTTATTGTCTAGAATTATGCTTATAGAGAGTAAGTAAGTGTTAAAATTTATAGTTATATGCATTTCTAGTTTTACTAAAAGCGCTAGGTTAATAAGTGTAGTAATAATGCTTTTTAGAAATGCTAGCTTATCTAATTCTTTAATAGCTTTTAAAGTAGAGAAGACTTTATCTAGAATTATATAGCCTTTTTTAAGCAGTATAGCCTTTACTTTCTTATGCTGCGCCTACTTAAGCCTTTTAAGAATTTTTTAATGTGTAGTTTTACTAAGCTTTTTTAGCTTTTTAGTAACTGCTAATATAAAGTCTCTACAGTCTGCTGCTTTTTATAAATAAAAGGATTACCCTAAAGCTCTGCATAAGCATAAGTAGCCTAATTAGGCTAAAATAGATTAGGCTAAATTATTATCTAATTATCTACTAAGTGTTGTAAATATACCTGTGCCTTAGTTACTTACACGTAGGGAGTGCTTCTAGAGCATTATTAAGAAGATCTTACTAATTTTCTAGATTATTAGAGGTTTTTTACTAAGTGCGCTAGCCTTTATAACCCTCTAGTGCATAGAGCGCGCCTAGTCTAGTGCAAGCTTTAGAGCTAGGGCGTCTAGGAAGTCTTGTGCAGTAAGCTGGCCTTCTACGTTAAGAATCTTGTAGGTCCTTGCCTTAGTGTACAGGAAGTGCCACTGCTAGTACTAAGCTTCTAGGGTTATAGTGCTATGCTTTACCTTAGTAAGTGTTACGGTCTACGGTTGGACCAGCGTAACTCCACCTAGGATGCTCCACAATATGGTACGGTTGGAGCGGGACTCGCTTACAGACCAAGCGGAGGACGCGGAGGTAGCACGGCTACCCGAGATCATGGAAGAATGCGTTGTCTAATAGGAGGATAGGACGCGAA